TATAGAGCATTTATGATTATTGATTTAATTACCATCAAAAATGAAGGTACACTCTGGTTATTTGACATGCCTGACATGGCTGTTGCATACTTGCATATGTAAAATTAGATGCTATTACATTATTTGTGATTATTGACCTATCAAACACGGTGATTTTTCATTACGTTAAAGAACCAGAGGGTATACCAACCTAAAGAATCTTACAGATACTTGTAGGTATTTTAAGGTCATGTCCACAAATTGTGCAATTGGCCCTTTCTCATACACTAATTGTTTGTAGGTGCATCCTCAGTCGCCATTCCGTAGTGCCCATGTGTTCGTCACCATGAGAATAACTCCCTGATATCCAGGGGGGGGCCGATGAGCCAGGAAGTCTTTGCAGAAAAAAGTCTCTTCCACACGAGGAACCTAAAGAGCCCAGTTTCCCTGAGATTTGTCGTTAGATGTCCCATAAGACCGTGCAAGATGACTTGTTCAGCGGTATCCAACAGATGAGCAATACCAAAAATAGATCAACAGAGCAAACTGGTTCAGAAAAGGTCGTGGTAATCAATATTCCTGACAAGCGCTGTATTTAGATATTGTAATCCCTTCCCCCAAACGGCTGACTCCCCCATACGGCCCCATCAATTTGATGTACTCTCCGATGTCATCAAACGTGGCACGCTGGAATATCCCCCATTTAGTTCGAATTATTTTCCCAGCTACAAACCTCCATGTAGTTTGGGGATTTCCCAGCTAGCCACCTTTGATGACACTGGAGGGTACTTCTGACCCCGCGAATGCTGCCGACCGAAACAAGATGTTAATTTGTGTTCGAGCCGGTGATGAAGGTGGCATGATGAAATGCATGTTTCATGTCGAAGCCCGGCATGCGATTCGCACAGCCCTTGCAGCTAACGACAAGATGGACTTCCTTGAGAAGCTGCAGTCTGCACTCTCGCTCCCAGATCAATTGAGCACTGATGGCGAATCAATGGTGGAGGCTGAGGCAGAAGTGTAGAGTATGAAAACACTGCGACCCCTCACACCAAGTCTGATTCTTGCTTCTGCAATAACGACATCTTGTCCAAAGTCTGCACTTGCAAAGATGTATATAAATGTATATATACATTTTATATTTAACTATATATATATACATGTATGTAGATATTGCAAGTATATATACAGATATGTGTATAGTGATAGTATGTGATAGTGCGCAATTATTTCATTATAGTAACCCCCAAAAAGATGGGTTTTACTCTAATTTCCATTTGTTTGGGAGGGTGCTATACATTCACATAAGTTTGTCTGAAGATACCAAAAACAACACGTGGTTTATCATCAATTTTCCCAGTTCATAAATAGCAATTTCGGCTTACCATCATCCATTTTTAGATACTCTCATCCTTTTTGTTGGATATTGCTGGTTCAATGATAGATGGGAATGGGTCAAAATTTAAGACCCAGGGAACCACAGACTTTAGTCTATGTTTGTAGTATTATATATATGTAACATTATATAACCATCTAAGGATTGGCGTATTCAATGTTGACTCATACCCAAGTATACCATTGTATCCCATAAAATGTTCCCAACACAATATTCCCAACAGTTGACTGGTTCACTTCAGACCTGCACCCCCAAGGCAGCCCTGGGCAGTATGCCCTTGGGAATGCTCCAGCCTCAGTCGCGGAGCCGTGGTGAATCACATCATACATACATACATATATACTTATATGTATATATATCCAATTATGTTTTATTATCTTATATTATCGAAGGAAGTTTAGAAGTCAAACTTCCGAAGTTTAGAAGTCAAACTTCCGACAATATGGACATATGAAAAGCAGAGATGGGAAGAGTCAGAGAAGAGAAGAGAAGAAAGAAGATCAGAGAAGAGAAAGAGTCAAGTCAGAAGACAGAAGATGCGGGTGCGCGAAAAGGTGGATGCGCGAAAAGGTAGGAAAGTCCCGAAGCACTGTGTTTTTTCCAATGATTTGTGGCTCCGGGGAGTCGAAAAGTAGGCTCGCTAAAGCGGCGTGCACTTCGACATCGCAACTTCCAAAATGCACTTCTAAACTTCCTTCGAAATGTGCTTCGCGCCACAGCGGCGTGCACTTTTTCGACATCGCAACTTCCAAAAGTGGTCCGAGCCCCTGGTGTTTTTAACATTTTGACTTGGAAACGTGCTTCGCGCCACAACTGCGTGCACTTTTTCGACATCTCAACTTCCAAAAGTTCTCCGAACGTGAGGTGTTTTTAGCGTTTTCACTTGCAAATGTGCTTCGCGCCACAACTGCGTGGATTTTTTCATCTCTCATCTGGCCAGCTGGCTCCGCACCCGCCGCTTTAGCGAGCATACTTTTCGACCCTCTGGACAAATCATTGGAAAAACACAGTGTTTCGCGACTTTCCTACCTTTTCGGGCACCTGGGTCTTCTTTCTTCTGAGACTTTCTCTTCTCTGATCTTCTCTCTTCTGCTCTTCTCTTCTCTATTATTCTTCTGCTCCACCTCTGCTTTTCATCTGTCCATATTGTCGGAAGTTTGACTTCTAACCTTCCTTCGATTTTTTTTTAATGATATTCAAATAATATGTTTAATTCAACTATATTGATTCTATCATTTACTAATTTATTTCATATTTAATTATTTTATATTATATTAGTTGTTATTTTTAAACTTAACATAAATTGTATTAGATTGTTTTTTATTTTCTAAAATTGAATTATATTATTTTATATGTTTTTTAATGATATTTTTTTTAAAAAAATATATATTATTTTTATATAGAGCGATTGATATGGAGATATGTATGTATCTACATATACAACTGATAGATTTGTCACATATTTTCCATATCACACATTTAATATCGATTTGCACATACAGCAAGTATGGGTGACATAATGATATTTTTGGTATACATGTCTACCTGTAGACCAATGCTTGTTCCATAATATCAGAATCAGATATAAGGTTTTGAACATGATCGGGTTCCAGTTGAATTGATTTTGCTTAAGGGTACCACCCTCTTGGAGTGGTTTGTCGTGAATCTCGTTTGTGTTTGCCCGAATTAGAATAGGAAAACTTGGGGAAACTAAAGAATACATACCTTTCCCCATCACCAAGAATGCAATCGTTTTTGGGTAAATCCCAACCCACCATTTTTGGACAAACCTCTGTGTTTGAGGTCTAACTCTTCCGTTTAGATGTGTTCAAACTCAGGGATGCCACAGTTTTGACTAGGTCAGTAAACGCATTAAAAATCATTTAACCACAGTGTTCGACTGGTATGTCCCTCAAGTTGCTGGTTGTCTATACCCCTTCTTGCTAGCTTAGAACCTAACTCAACTGGTATGTTGTCCACACGTTGTATACATATTTACGCAGCCATTGTTGTTACATGTAGCTGAAACATGTTTAAACCTCTTGAAACCCCATGTTAATATGTTTGGCCCATGACTTATGGTTGCTCCCCAATATCCCAGATACCATGGTAATTTGGTGCAAATATCTTCAAGGGCGCAAATTGTTTATGGTAGTATATAGCATTCCATGGTAAATATATTCCATAATTTATCCATAGTATTCCATGATATTCCACAGTATTTCCATGTCATTCCATAGCTAGTGAGCCTTACCAGCCAAAAAACCGTAGAAGGGCTCAGTGAATAGATGTTCATATAGAGCTTACACACCAACAAACATCGGGACCAGCGACAGGTCTGTGCTGGAGATTGAATACGTCTTTCACTGGACGGATCGCAGCAGGTGGGTCCTTGGGTCCTGGTTTCTGGTGAAGGCTGTGGGGTGATACATGGTGATACATGTTTTCTGTTTATTTCAAGGATGCTCAGGGGTGAACACTTCCACTTTGACTTCCTGATTTTTGTTGGGGTGAAGAGGTTGTCTTTCGTTGGTGATTTTTTGTAGTTGGTTGCCTGGGTAGTGAGTTTTTAGAGGGTGTCAGACTCCCATGCCTGCTGGCCTGTGCTTCTTTAGATATTTTAGATGTGCCATGTTGGTAGCTTATCGTGCGTTCCATTGTTTGGTCTAAAAAACGGGGTGTCCAAGTCAGCCACGGAGCTATGAGGGAGATTTTTATTGATGTATATACGTAGAATATTTACATATGTATATATATATATATACGTGTGTGATTATATATGTTTATATTATATATGTATACAGATATGTACAGGTACGTGTATATGTATGTATACATGTATATTATGTAGATCAAATGTACATTGTTAAAATCATTTTAGCTTGAGAAAGGATACCGTATTAGAAGCCATGAGCTTTTCATGCTGTTCGATCAATTCGAAACTGCAATCCTGCCCTCACAACTGATGGCCAAACCCATAGAGGGTGTACCCTCTGGTAATCCAACATGGCGGAAATCCCCTCTGAATGGATGTAATGGGAAGATCCCTCGCCATTGCCATGTTTCATGACTGGAGAGTAAAGCTGTTTGAAGCTCTGCTCGGACACCAAAACAAAGTAACTGAGTAACAAGTTTTCCATTTCTTCAAGTTCAATAATTTCATGACCCATGAAATTACGTTTCATGTCTTCACTGCTTGATTCACGTCGAGTAGTTGCTGTAAGTAGTTCTGTCCCTCTGCTTGATTCACGTCGAATGATTAAGTAGTTCTCGGTTCTCAACATGGCCAAGCCCCAGTCAGTAATCCCAAAGTTGGTTGAAGTGAGTGACAGTTTACAAGAAACTCCGAGATATGGATGGTAAACCCATGGTTTCCTTCAGTTTTCCCTTAAAGCATCCAATTGATTGGATTTGTGTCTTCTCGTATCCCATTTAGGTCATCGATGTATACATAGATCTAATAGATGTATAACTCCAAGATGTATAACTCCCAGATGTATAACTCCCAGATATTCTCTGAAATTCGTCATCTGACTAGGGACAATCACCCAGAACCATACCATCACCAATGTCTCAGAGTGCCTATACCCAGCCAAGCTGACCCAACCCTTCGCCCCGCAGCTGTTTCCCTGTGCTCAACCGCCATCCCGCTTCTCCCGCTGATCCTGCACCGGCCGGCACCACAGTGCACAGAGTGGTTGGCCAGTGGATGATTTTCACATGTTTGTTCACCACAAAAAAAGGCTTTAAGGTCATGTGGTTGGAGGATATTCCCTGAAATATAGCCCTTAGATCGCCTTGTATGGTTGAGAAGCCTCCAATTTGGGATGGTAGCTATTTCTCGGAGAAGTCCTGGCTTCTGATTGTTAAATGCCGATGAAAAACATTAAAATTATATTAACATATTATATTAAAATGATACCAGTAGTACCCACACGAGGCGGGGAAGTTGCCTTAGGGTTATACTATAAGACCTTTCTCATATATAGAACTTGCATGCGCCTTGCGCCAGCCAGGCCCGTGCGTGCGGCCTTTGTGCGAAGCTGTTGCGGTGTTGTTGTCCAGGAACATGGCCTGCGCACGACCCCTGTAATGCAACGCCAAGCGAACACTTTATCCACACTCCACACTGCACTCTTCACACCCCGCACTTCACACTTCACACTTGCACTTCACACTCCACACTTCATCTCATCTCAAATCATGTGAGCTCTTCTCACCTCAGATTCTCACCTCAACTCAGCTCTTCTCATCTCATCCCATCTCTCCTCACATGTCATCTAAGTAAGTCATTCTCAACTGTTTTCATCTCATCCGAGCAGCACTGATCAACCTTTCTCATCTCCACGAAGTTCGTCTCAACTCATCTCAGCTGTTCTGCACGTCAGAAAGCTCGTACTGTCAGAGAGAAGTCTGTTGCAAAAAAAGAACCATTGGGCGCAGAAAGCTTTTGCACACAGAAGCTTGAAACACAGATGCATTTACACAGAAAAGCCTTTACAAAATACTTTGTTCTACAAAGCTTGCACCCAGTACTACCATACACTACAAAGCTTGCACAAAGTACTTCCCAGTACTACTTTGTACTACAAAGCTTGCACAACCTACTTCCCAGTACTACTTTGTACGACATTTTGCACACAGTACTTCCCAGTGCTACTTTGTACCCTTCATCCCCGCCTGCACCCACTTTACACGGAAAAACGTAAAGTTTCGTGCTCTGGCTTCCTCCCCAAAACAACCCCGTGCAACATTCATGCAGCCATTGCAATGCGTTTTGCAGCACCTCGTGCCCATCCATGCAGCCATTACAATGCGATTTGCATCCGCGTGTTGCAGAACACCAAGGGAGAACCGATTATGCCCGAAACGATCCAAACCGCACCCGCCGCACTCACGAGGTACCTTTCATCGCCGGCTGCATCCACTTTACACGGAAAAACGCAAGGTTTCGTGCGCCGGCTTCCTCCCGAAAACAAACCCCATGCAACAGTCATGCAGCCATTACATTGCGTTTTGCAACAACACGTGTTCTAACCCGCATGTCTCGACACACATGGCAACAAAACCTGACAAGACTCTCGCACCACCCGACATGACAAATGTATTGTTATGTGATGTAAAGTTTCACACCGCCCTTCATGAATGTATTTTTATGTGATGTACAGTCTCGCACCACCCTTCATGCATGTATTGTTATGTCATGTAAAGTCTCTCACAACCCTTCATTTAAGCAAAATCATCCGTAACTCGGAAGATTGCTTCCCAACTTCCTTTGATTAAATGCGTTGAATAGGTGAATAGGCCTTAAATGCATTGAATAGGCCTTAGCATGCCCAGCAATGCGGTTAGAACAATAACAAACTACCCATTTGGGAATGGTAAACATACCACCTGTAGAAATGGTGATGACTGGGGGATGGTTTATTATTGTTTTAACATGTTTTAACCACATTAGATAAATCACATAACCACTAAATCATACCCGTTAGAGAACCATCAAACCCATTTCTGGAGACCATCAAGTCCATCAAGGCCATGGGAAAGCGTGCCGCAGCCACAGGTCTTCCGGCGTTGAGTAGGGGTTAGATCGGTCGGGTCATAGGTCTTTCCGATCTGGGGGGACCACTAGATGATGCTTAGGATTATCATTGGTATCATCTTCACATTTGATCATTTTCGGCGTGATTTGGGTCAAGATTTCCGGACCACCCACCAGCCGGACCAGGAAGGTAATCATCCAACTTTCTTTCGGCGGGACACCATTTTGACCCATAACCAATTGTGAAATTGATCGGAAAAGATGCCTGATGTTGGGATTTGTTGATTAATTGCGGTGCAAAATCGGGATCTTTGGGTTATTTGCATCAATATGGTAAGAACAACAGCGTGATCAACTGGTTCACATTTGCTGACCATGGCCATAACCAGAGATCCTTCATTTGCAAAGCAGGCATTTTAAAGAGTTGCCGTGAGTTAACTATGTCCTTAATGTTCAGGATATATCCGGGAATTGTTCAATATTTCTTTGGGACTAGAATTGATGACTAGCACTGCAATTAACGTTTAGGGGAATTATATATTTTACATGACATGCTGTTTCAAACCAACGACATTTTGAATGCCTTAATTTGAACACTGCAAAATTGGACTATTAGTCAAGATGACTAAGAGAGAGCATTTCTTGATATTGTTTGTTCATTTTGACATTCGCGGATGACATGCACCCTTAAGTTGGGCACCCCAGTAGAAATACCCACATTTGCCTGATACAATCCCCAGTGACGTTCCCAAAAGTATGAGCCAGCAGCTGGTGATGAATTATAATAATGCCCCAAAAAACTCAAACATTGTATTCACTTGACCATACTTTACCACTATTTTAGTTGGAATTGTTTTTTCTATCGTTTTGGGGGTTGCATACACATAAGTTTGTTTGAAAATAGAGTACTCCAAAATTCCATGCTTTGCCCGTGATTGGGGTACCCTCCATTTTCAGATACAATCTTCCATATAGTTGGTTATATATCCCATGCTGTCCCCACTATATCACCACTATTGTCCCATAGTGTTCCCATTTATAATACCATCTGGTGATTTAACATAGCCATGTGGGTATCACATGGTATCACCATTTTTAAGTTCGGTAAACCTCTATTTCTATGGGCCATCCTATACCATGGCTATGTTAGTCATAGCCAGAGGGTCATTTTGGAAATGTCGATCCCATAATTTCCACTTGCGCTGGTGCCGCAGTTGTCCCGCAACTTGGCCTTAGGAGCACCTGATCTCACCTTGATCCCATCCTGAATGATATTCCCAGGGAAGGTCCCATGAAAATTGAAAACAGGGCATTTTTGGATGATTTCCCAGTCCATCTGTATCTCTCATTTTAGTTCTGCGATTCGAGCGCCCGAAAAGAAAGCCACCAGGAACGATCCAGGCCTGGAAACGCTTTCGCTTGGGGCTCCAGATGGTGACAGTCGTGTCGTGGGAGCTTGGGCTTACCCACATGGAGTCCGAAAAAAATACCACGAAGATATGGAGGGTTCCCAGGATGAAGATACCCCCAAATCATCCAAGTCATTAGACCATATTATTCAATACACTGAAACACATCCATTAGTTGGTCCATTAGCTATTTTTGGGTTCACTAGGGTGCCAGGGTTTTGACATGTTTTGACTCATAGCCATATGGATAGCCTCAAACGTAAACTCACATACAGCAAACTGGAAATTCACCATTGTGAGAAGAGGATCAAGAAGTAAACCGACTGTAAATTGCAATTTTCAAAAAATGCGGTGGATGGTTGCGAACTCCTGCACCACGATGGCAGAATTGGCTGAATACCTAGAAACAATGGGATGAACATCCAGTATGATGTGTTTTGGAAGATGATCTTGGCATTTGACATGGGATTTTGTTTTGGGTCCATTAAACTCTCGAGAGTTATTCATGTCTTGGGCAAGGTTTATGAAATTGGTCAATACAAAGAAAACATCAGATGAACTAAGTTCTAGTATGTACTAGTAGTAGATACTATATCTGGTTGGTGGTTTGGAACATGTTGTTATTTTTCCATATATCGGGAATGTCAACCAAATATGATACTATTAGTAAACCATCTTCGTCACTCATATTTTGACCCACACATGAATAAGACTGACATCTGTTCCAATATGGTATCTTGTTGGGTAGGGAGTTGGACCGTGCCATGCGCGCAAAATAAGATAGACCTGTAGGAATCCCATCATCCGAACATTGAATACCTCAATTTGGGCTCCCAAAACAAACAGATCCAATACTCAACCAGAGTTTCTTGGGGTTTATTTATATCCTGGCTGTTGGTTTGGAACATGTTTTTCCATACATTGGAAATTTCATTATCCCAACTGACGAGCATATTTTTCAGAGGGGTAGGTATACCACCAACCAGTAATAATATTATATAATCATCTATGATATTTGATATTTATCCCATGGGATGAGTATTGGAAAAAAATGGGATTATTTTCATGAAATAGTCATATGAAAAACCAATATTGCACCAATATGTTGGGATTATACACTAACATAGCTATTGAAAATGGCCATTTATAGTGGATTTACCCATTAAAAATGGTGATTTATCATATTAGAAATATTTTGGGAGTATACACCAATATTGCTTCATCGGCTGCCTTGGGGTGTGGCTTGGTGCTCCTGCCCAAAGGTGCACCAAGTTCAGCTTCAAGGGCCCATCTTATGGCTGTCACCAGAAAGCCAGCAGTGAACCGAGTTGATGTACTCAACCTAACATAACCTAACTAGCTAACATAAATCCACCATGAATCAACTGATTTTCGCAAAGAATAACTCCCAATTTGTTAGTGATTTTTAATCCCCCATCAACTCATCAGACTGGGGTAAACCAGCCCTTTTCTAATTTGTCTCAAGAAATCCCATCGAGTGTCAATCCTGGAGAGTGGTCCTTAGGTGGTGCCGGTACCAAGAGCAAAGTCAACACCATCGTTTCGGTGGGGCCCCTCCAGGGGCTCGGATCGCCGGGGCTGAAGAAGCTGAGTACCCGGTGGGCCAGGTGGAATAGCTATGGCTGGCAACGTTGGATAAAAAGGTGTTGAACCATGAACTAGAATGAACTACGACCCAGTTATGGAATACCTATAACAAAATGAAATGGGATAAATAAAAATAGGTGTTTAACCATGAACTAAATGAAGGGTCCCGGGTTATTTAAATCCCCATGCACGCCTCATATAGTCCCCAGTGACGTAATTCACTAGATCCCCCATGCAATCCCTATATGGGGAGCGGCTCATGGAACATTCCCAAGGGTACACCCCATCATTCCATGAAATCATCATTTTATTCCCTTCTTGTCACTTATGTGACACTTATGAGCTATGTTCTTTGAATCACCACTGGCGCGATTTGTTGCTTCAGGTCCTGAAGGACAGCACTCTGGAATGCCAGGCGGGTCCTCGTAGTTCGCCGAGTTCATAACTACCAATGTGGGGCCACCGTTCGATATGCTAAGTTGGTTTATAACTACGAAGACTAGGGATAATGGTGGATATAACTTATATAACTCTACTGTACTATACTTAGATGGGGTTATAAACCAACAAACAGAACTAGAGGGCCCCACTCTGAAGGGTTTTGTCCAACAGTTCGATGTGGAAGGGCCAGGGGAAAACCCAGAAAAGCCGTTCGGAACATGATCTACAAATGCTGGTTTCCCACCTAGGTGGTGCCCGCCCGAGTTATGTTTGTCGGCATATAACCACCATTCACTATAGATATATGTATTTTAAACCCCAGTAAAATTGGAGTTATAAGACAGCTAGCTATTGGACACCACCTTGTAGTAGAACTACGATCTATGGTAATTGTGACATAGTGGGGTGAAACTAAACCAACAAACATAACTGGACCACGTTGTATGGAGGTGACCTAATCATCATTTACATGTTTTTCCTTGTAATCATGAAGATATGGATAGATATGGGGATGTCTCAGAGGTCTTTTTCCAATCTGGCGATCAAAAGCCACTAATTTATTAATTTCACATATGGGGGATGAAGATCCAGATTTCCCGCAGCTCAATTTCGGGAAAATCAGGGGATTCCCAGGGTTTTGAATCAGATCGTACCCAGAAAAAATCCCTGAGCCGTGCGAGTGAAACATACCGTTCTTGGGCTATTCGAGTTTGATCCATATCATGCCCTCAATATAATTATCCAATATATCTATATATATTTCATGTTCATACTGTGGCTGTGGCGGGTAGGAATCATTTGAGGCAAAGCTTTGTTGATGATCCTCAATGTGAGCCCGGGACGGTTCCAAACAATGGTTTTGGATGGAACAGGCCCTCCAATATCTCCCATAGAAGCCTGGGTAAACCATAGTCAACCTTGGTTTGGCAGGTTCTATACATATACACCGATATACCGTAAACACAATAGATATAGTCATCCTCAAGTAGAATATGCTATGTTCAAGCACATCATCACTTTTTTTCGGGACTATTTTTGGCAAGTCCATATTCTTTCATATGTTATCTACTTCAGGATGATTATATATGTAAGTTCCTGGTTGGTGGTTTGGAACATGTTTTATTTTTCCACAATATATGGGATGTCATCCGAAACCCATTGACTTTCACTCCATCATTTTTCAAGATGCGAAATTTGCACCACCAACCAGAGTTCACTTGTGTGTTCCCTCTACCCTCTGGTAAACATACAAAAAACTATGGAAAATCACCATTTTTGTAATGGAAAAATACACTATAAATGGCAATTTTCAATAGCTATTTTGACATAACCAGGCCGGGTACATCCTCTGTAATCAACATCCTCTATTGCAATCAAAGCCATGAAACACCACCGGTTTTTGTTGGACCAGGTCTTTGGTACAAAAAGGAACTTTGTCGGGAGTCTCTCAACCCAACAGGTCGAAAAAAGATTGTATTATAGATGTATATCTGGAATGAATGTTAGCAAGTGAATTAATATAGTAGGTATATTATTATGGTTTAAAAGCTATATAGATATTTCTCAGTGTTAACTATACCGACCTCGCTGCGACCAGGAATGATGATTAGTAAGGGAATTATCCCCAAAGAAGCCTTATTTCAGGTTAGTGAATTGTTATAATTTACCCAGATATATTCTATAATATTATGGAATATATATATATATTATATTATATTCTTTAATATCCATGCATAGATATATGTTTACTTATTTTCACATACATTCTGATTCGTTGTCATATCAAAGGTCAATTGAAACTGACCTGGAACCTATCACTAAAGCATACACGAGATATTGTTAGTACTAACCATTTTTCGAACATAGGAAAACTCTAGTCTTTCGAACGCAAGTACAAAGAAACACCAAGTACTAACCTTTTATGTTGAATACATAGGAATTCGACTCCATGTTTCGTGGTCAGCCCAGAACTGCTGTCAACCAGCGTGGTCAGTCTTTGGGGATGGTGGATCTCAGGTGCCCGCATCTGCTCGATCCATGCTTGCCGAGGGAGTCTCATGGCGTTAAGTAAGGGCGAGGGATGGTCAAGGTTCTAGGTCCGACGTTTGAAACCTTGAAGATTGGAAGATAAGCATGATGCGCAGGCATGCGTAGGCTCTATATCTATATATATACACACATAATGATATATTATATAAAATCACATATACAGTGATAAGTGCAAAAAATGCTTACACGTGTTTATACATATTATACATGCTATGTGTGTATATATATATACACATGCATATAAGTTTACAAATGCAAATATGTATGCGCAGGCATTGTCAGCGGAGAGCCAGGCGAAGCTTGCAAGTCAGGATGCACCGCCTTTTGGTCAAACCGAAAATGGCGAGCCTTTCTTCGCGTGGTTCTCTTTGCCGTCCAAGAACATGTGAACCATTTCTATCATTGCTTGAGCTCTATCCCAGTTTTGAATCCGAGTAATATCATACTTGAACTACTGAAAAAAGAGTACAAAGTGAAAATAATTACATATCAGCCTCGAAATGACTCTCATCGATACTATCTAAGTTTAAGTTTGCAACACAACGACTCCAAAACAGTCTTCGTGATCGACAACATCATCATCATCGTCATCATCATCATCATCATCATGATTATGATCATGATCATCGTCATCAGCATCAGCATCATCATCATTCATCATTCATCATTCATCATTCATCATTCATCATTCATCATTCATCATTCATCATTCATCATCCATCATCATCATCATCATCCATATCATCCATATCATCCATGTCATCCATATCATCCATATCATCCATATCATTCATATCATCCCTATCATCCATATCATCCCTATCATCCATATCATCCATATCATCGTCATAACCGTCATTGTGTTTCTATCATTATTTGTATCATTGACATATGTGCATGAATCATGACTATCTCACTGCGTGGTCATAGGCAAGGATGGTTGGAAAAAGGACGCATCCCCAAACACGTTCTTATTTCAGGTTGGCAAAGAGTAATCCTGCACCAGTTGGTAGAAGATTTATCCGATGAAATAACGCAATTTGAGCCACAGTGTTGAATTGTGTTATCATTAGTTGCCAACTGGTGCAAGATTTCGCAGCCATCCACAGTATCACTGAGTTCATTTCTATTCATTTCTATCATTTATCGTCTATATGGAATATCATATAATCATCCTGGAGTAGATAGAATATGGATATTTCAAACATGATCATTAAAATGATATGATTTGTGAAAATTACCATATTCTATCTACTTCAGGAACATTTATACATGTATATCGTTGTATATCTATATCCATTTATATGTATACATGAGTATAGCCCATCATCGGCACGTTGCCAACTGAGGCACCTACAGCCCTGTCTACAGCCGTGGAGCAGCGGCACAAGTTTCAGATCGAGTGAAGAGACCCAGATGGGAGGGCAGTTTTGATGACCGGAAGCGGTTACCCTGCAGTAAACTAACATAGCTATAGAAAAATGGACCATCTATAGATGAATTATTTATATTATATTTATCTTATTTATCTAGTAGCGACAATTTACAACCATTTTCTGGTATGTTAGTTTCCTAGAGGGTACCAGTTACCAATTTCTGGCGTCCACCTTGGGATTGTGGATATACTGGGAATATCACCAAACATATGGGGACTTAATGGGAATATCTATGAGGATATGGGAATCTATAGCAATTCCAACTAGATAGAAAGTTGGAAACCTGTAAAATGCGCGGAACACGTCATCATGTACGATCTTGGAGATACTGTTCGACGTCTTTGTGTGTGTGTATTTGCGTCTAGTGAATTACGTATAGTAATCGCCATCACTTACCACTATATTTCGTTAAGTCTGTGAGTCTTACCAACCAGGGATTGCAAATTGAATGATAGCTACTACCAGCCTTAAGTCAAAACAAATAATCATGTATATATATATATATACGTATATTTTGTTTTTTTTAATTGTTACGACTATGTTTGTTTTACTACTTATACTTGCTGATTCCAGTTCCTACCAGGTTTCAATTGTAGGTCATAACATGCAATAGTTATGGTGTCCAAACTGAATGATAACTACTACCAACCTGAAATAATACCATATCAAACACCACAAATTTGTCTTATTTCAATATATTTTAGGTTGGCCTGTTTTAGTTCAGCCAGACTGATGGGCACATATCTCTTGAATTTCTCTTGAATCTGTCCTTACTGCGATGCAACTGGAATGATGTTGAGTAAGGGTAACTAATCCCAAAATATGGCCTGATTTTATTTTTCTTATTTCCAGATAATGGTCATGGGAATCTTCATGATGCCCCAATAGCAAGTATAATTTCCTGTTTTCAGATTATACCTTATGCAGTTGCTGCATCTATGAAGGTGGACATTGTCACATGAAATCTTCCCAGAGTTTTGCCTTAGACGTTTTTGGCTTGGGTAAAAGTGCGCAAAAGGTAGACATCTATCGCTGTACTTACGTACTATTGGACAATATGGGTTTGTCAAGTAGGTACCTCTAAAACCCTTGGCTCATCAACAGTTGTCCTCTTAAAATAATAAATAGCATTTTTTTGGTTTACCCCACTTTCAGACTTCAGACACACCCATATTGTTCAAAGTGGATACAGAACCCACGGCCTGTGCAAAATGCACTTGTCACCCATCAGTCCAAAACAACAGGTAGTTGGCTGGATTTAATTGATTTAACCTCCAAACAGAGCAGCTTTGCCAAGTATTGTAATTCTTCGAATTTGTTCACAAAACCCAACAGAAACTGGTGGCAACGGGAATCCCACCTTTCAGAACCCATCAACTGTAGATGCTTATCCGCATCCTATGTACATAGCACGTGGGGGACCCCCAAAATAACGCTTCTCTTTGCTCCTAAAGACATCTTTCCAAGAGTATTTTTGTGGGTCAAAACTAGGGTTGGTCCCAAGAAACCTGGAATTCTTACCAAAGGATGGCCGACAAAAAATGTGGTTCCCGACATCACAAAAACGCCTCTAAAATCGCAGGATGTTCGCTTTGATTGCTGAGACTTTGAATGATATGGCGAAAAGGCGGGAGAAAGTGCGTTCCGGGAACTGATGTGGTCTCTGGGAACAGGGATGATTACCTTCCGCTCAAACATGGCTGGCAGCAAGTTGGTTACATGTTGTAAAGCGATAGGGAGTGGGTATATGTTTTAAATATTTTTAAATCCTGTAGAACTAATGGAGAATTACATTAGTTATCACAGGGGTTGGTAACTGTCCCATTTTGGGAATATTGGACATCACCTTATAGTAGCCATAAAAAAGACCATATACCATTCATGGTTGGGTGATGTTCAATGGGGACATTTAATGACCCATGTATCATTACATCTCATTAATTCTCATTATCTTTCAGGAAAATTGTCATCCATGATCAGTTCTTGGGATTCAAATTCATGCAATTTCACGACATTTTTTTTAACATTCTTATAGAATTCCATGAAAACCCTATGAAAATCCCATAAATTTCCCATAGCAGTAACATTCCATGAAATCACCATGAACATCCCCATCTTTTCTTCCCCAGGCCCAACTTTTTTGTCATTTTGTCAGGCTCCAGGGCAAGGTGGACGAGGCCAAGTCAGCAGCTGCCAAGTTGACAGCGGAGCAAGAGGCCAAGAAGGTGGCAACGAATCGCGTGTTTTTGATGGGAGATTTGTGGAGATTTTTTCTGGATTATGGGATAATATATATATATACATATATATATATGTATATATCTATCTCATATATATATATATTGAGTCAATAAATGTTATAATAATTATATGAGATTGATGGATATAATATATATAATAGATAATAATGAATATTTATGGGATGGGATATATGGGATACTGATGTTTGATGGGATGGTGATACCCTGGATATATGTGTGGGAGATCATGGATATATATATATATATAGCTAACAATAATATGGATACAACATTGATTGGATATATGGAAAATCATCTTTTTGAATGGAGGTGTTAGTATGAACATCATCTTTCCATGGATAACAGTAATATAATGAATATTTATCGAGTATAATGATGGATACAATAATGAATGGATGTGTATATGTATATATATATAATATGGATATAACAATAATGGACACGTCCGTTCCAATTCCCATCCGGTGTTAATGATAGTTTAATGTCAAACATAGTAATGATAATCATACCAGTGATAAATGTATATACTAATGACAGGTCATCAAACATAGTAGTGATTTGTAATAGTCATCAAACATAATACTGTAGTTATCCTACACTATCTTGATCATACATTATTTGGTTGGTGGTTTGTTTTTTTTCCATATATTGGGAATAATGATCCCAACTGACTAATATTTTTCAGAGGGGTTGAAACCACCAGTCAGTTATATGTTACTTACCCTGCGGTGCCATCAAACATGGCGCACTGATAATTTTATCCCCCATTTAGTTTGATGATTTTCCCAGCTCGGGGATTTGGGTATTTTTCCCATGAAATCTAAGGGTAGCATTTTACTTGGTAAATGGTGAACACAATGACATTACTATCTGTTTTTTGCATTCTAAGCCATGCATAGTCAATATATCATATATATAATATAATATATATATATATATATATCATATATTATATATATTATATTATATTATAAATATATATTATATCATTATATATTATATATATATCCATTAGTAGAGGATTTTCAAGCCACGTTCGATGACACCAACGAGGGTATACCTGCTCTGGTCGGATCAGTGAAAATCCAGGCGCTGGCATAGTCAATTCGATCCCCAAGTTCTATACTATCCCTCAATAGTTACTTACCCTCTGGTAATTTAACATAGCTATTGCAAAACACAATTTTTAATGGGAAACATCACTATAAATGGTGATTTTCCATAGTTATGTTAAATTACCAGAGGGTAACATCCTTCAATCAATTGGGTATACCAAATAATATATCCCAAAATTCCAATTACATCCATATAAATTAATCGAAGGAAGTTTAGAAGTCAAACTTCCGACAATATGGACAGATGAAAAGCAGAGCAGGGAAGAGGCAGAGAGAAGAGAAAGATCAGAAGAGAGAAGAGTAGAAGAGAAAGAGTAAGAAGAAAGAAGATGGAGATGCGCGAAAAGGTAGGAAAGTCGCGATTCACTGTGTTTTTCCAATGATTTGTGGCTCCGGAGGGTCGAAAAGTAGGCTCGCTAAAGCGGCGGGTGCGGAGCCAGCTGGCCAGAGGAGAGATGAAAAATTGCACGCCGTTGTGGCGCGAAGCACATTTCCAAGTCAAAATGCACAAAACACACCATTGTCGGACCACTTTTGGAAGTTGAGATGACGAAAAAGTGCACGCCGTTGTGGCGCGAAGCACATTTCCAACTCAAAATGCACAAAACACACCAGCTCCGGACCACTTTTGGCAGTTGAGATGTTGAAAAAGTGCACGCCGTTGTGGCGCCATTTGGAAATCAAAATGTGTAAAACACCTCAGTGTCGGACGACTTGTGGAAGTTGCGATGTCGAAAAAGTGCACGCCGTTGTGGCGCGAAGCACATTTGGAAGTCAAAATGTTAAAAACACTAGGGGTACGGACCACTTTTGGAAGTTCAGATCTCGAAAAAGTGCACGCCGTTGTGGCGCGAAGGACATTTGGAAGTTAAAATGTTCAAAGCACTAGGGGTTCGGACCACTTTTGGAGGCTCAGATGTCGTTTCGCGTGGCAGGCGCACGAGATTGTGGATCTTGTCAAACGTGCGCAAAACATGAGGGTTTTGCAGCATTTCGACAAAAGATGGCAGGCATGGGACATTTGCAGATGATCTGCAAAGACGCATTTTCCGTGGCAGGCGCAGGACAAAAGACATGTTCATGAGAGAGGTTGGGAGATCAGGGCGCTGATTTCCTGAGAGCGGTTACATTGTGGAGTATCAGAAATGTAGGTTGGCTAAGATGATTTTGCATGTTCATGAGAGAGGTTGAGAGGTCAGGGCACTGATTTCCTGAGAGGGGTTACATTTTGGAGTATCAGAAGTGTAGGTTTGCTAAGAGGATTTTGCGCAGCCGCAGTACTTTAGATAGGTGGGGCAGAAAAATCGCAGAACGAATTGGCACGAGGGTATGAGTGCAGCACTGATCTTTCCATTTTTGGAGGAAGTTTCGCAGAAGTGGTTCGTCCTTGATGTTGTCAACTTAAGTCTCGCAGACTTGTTTGGTGCATCAAGCTGTCAAGTATATACAAAAATGATAGATAGATAGACAGATAGATAGATAGATGGATAGATAGACAGATAGACAGCTAGACAGACAGACAGATGAAAGAAAGAGAGAGAGAGAGATAGAGAGATAGATAGATCGATAGATAGATAGATAGATAGGTAGATAGATAGATAGATAGGTAATTAGATGAAAGGGAGAGATAGATCGATAGATAGATAGATCGATAGATCGATAGATAGATAGATACATAGAAGATAGGTTGGTAGGCAGGTAGATAGTCAGAAAAAGAGAGAGAGAAAGAGAGGAGACCTCAAGCACCTTTCGGTCCATCAGTGGCTTCGCTCTGCCATCCGTGATTCACAACAACCAACCTCTCCTATAGGTTTCCTATGTTTGAAACTTCCGCCACCGCCTTGTGCGGTACTACTGGTATAATTCCTCTATAAATTGAAATTTCTAGCTGTGAAATCATCGAACTAAATGGGTGATTTTCGAGCAAGCCATGTCTGATTACCCGGAGGGTATTAATTTTGATGTCCATTCGGTGGATTCAATCTTAGGAGGACAATAGGATGTGAGTAAAAAATAACCTTTATTTATCAACACCACCTTAAATGGATGGTTTGAGAAGCTCTTTAGTTATCCCATTATTACACATTGTACAGTAAGTTGACTTTGTCGTACCTGCTGCTTTGAGCCTCCTGGAAACCGTCAGCCCAAAGAAAACTGCATGCTCAAGCTCAACTTGCTCTGCTAAAGTATCTCCTGCAGATCGCTTCTGCAGTGACTGTGGCGCGGAGAATACAAACTTTGACAAAGAGATTGCCGATATCAACAAGTCTGGAAAGAGAAGTGGCTGGTTCAAGCCGCCGGAATAGCCTGCGATTGTACCAGAGAACCCTGAGGAAGAAAAAATGGAACGTGGCATGGGCGACTTGCTGGCCCACTTGCGAAAGCAGAAGCCTCCTGAGCTTCGGCTGCGGTCGTGCCAGCAGAAGCTCTTGACGCAGCCGAAGCTCTTGAGATTGAGCGCACAGAGTTTGACCTGGACAATCCAATCCATGCAGTCGAATGGATCCTTTCAGCGTTTGCACCAAACAAAAGATCAGAATTGAAGCCACTAGCAGAGTTTACGATTCACACCTCAAAAGCCTTTCTAAGAATTTGGCAGACATTTTTTACAAAAAAGTAATTGGCCCACGTCTCTTGACTATGCCTAACAGCTGTGACAACTGGGTTGCTTCAACCAGGGCAAATCGTTCGAAGCGATTTGTTCCACCGCCAAGTGGGCTCTGGAAAAAAGAAGCCGAATGCGTGAAACGCATAGGCAGCAGCGCAAAAAAAAGAGCTGAATTTGAGCCATCTGAAAGTTTGAAGGTCTAAAGTTGATGCAGCGTTTACATGGTGAAATGCTTCAAAGGGATGGCTAAGGTATGACTTCTTGGAATGGCGTTGCCAAGCGGGGAAGCGCTTTAGGTATGACTTAGGGGTGACTTTGTTTAGTCCCTGTAGGGGGTGTCTTAAAATGGATCCCCCAAGTCACCATTGTTTTCAATACTAAGTCATGTTCATCCATGACTTGGATGCTTTGGAGTACCCCCATGACGTAGGAAACCTCCATTCCCCCACCCCCCAGCTATGTCTGTTGGCTTATAAACCCCATGATTTATAGTATATTCCAGCTATAAGTATCATAAACCATAGTGAAATTGGAGGTTATCAACCAACTTAGCTAGACATTAATCACCATGAACAATTGGGGTTACCCTTTGGTTATCTAACATGGCGATGGACAATTGCACATTGAAATACGTAGAGGAATTATAGTGATTTACCCATAAATCCCTAGTATCATCCTACTATTCTCATCATTTAGGATAATACTGGGGATATCGTGGGAATTGCTCATAGAAAATTGCTATATCCCCAGGATATCCCCAGCATTATCTCTACGATTGTCCCATTGAATCCCTAAGCCCAGATGATTCCGTTGGATGCCAGGTAGAGCTCACGGGTGCCAGCCACTTGCTGACGGAGGTGCCAACAAAAAAAACATGGTGATAAAAACAGAAAACGGTGATGAAATGTTGGGTAAAATGGTGATTTCATGGGAAAATGGTAATGAAATGGGTAAAATGGGTGATTTCATGGGATCTGGGCAAATTATAACGACCGAACCCTGTTCTCCCTCACTGGAATCATGCTTTATTTGAGGGGAATCATCCCAAAATTGCCTTATTTCAGATTAGTGAATTATTATGAATTATTTATCATTGGCCCAGATGGGATATAACATTCGAAACTGGTGATGTCATGGTGCTTTCATTGTGATCAATCATGTCATGGTGATTTTACTCTACTGATATAACATGATATTTTATGATATAGCATGGTATATATATATAACTATATCACCAACTAAATAATCTACATATGGTGATATAAAAGGAATATGATTTCAGAGATAGTCCCTGTTTTCATTGACAATTGAATAGATATGAATAGATGGAACCATGGTTTGCATCATCGAATTGGCAATTTTAGTTGCGTTCATTTACCAAAGTGTATTCTCTGGTAAATTAACATAGACCCTGAAAACACGTTTTTTTAGTGGAAACTAGTCTTTCAACCCCTGTCTGCCAGGGTCCATGTGAATTTACTGGAGGGTAAATGGAGATTTCCTAAACTGTAGGTACCCCAATAGCTGGATGGTTTAGAATGGAAAATCCATCTATAAATGGATGACTTAGGGTACCCTTATTCAGGAATCCGCCGAATATGAAACGCACATCCTCCAGTTGCTAATCAGACTGAATAGGAATCAAAAATCCTAGCAAGATGGACTTCAAAGATGTGCTCAAATCCCTAACTTTAGACCAAAAAACAACTTCAGATGGGCTTGTCTCAAAATGGAGTACCCCATTCCAACCAATGGCTCAATAGCAATATTACCCATGAACATAGTTTTTTTGGGGGCATCCTCCATTTTCAGACACGCCGACATATAACCCATGTTGTTGGTATACTATATCCCATTATCTCCCCATTTATGGATGTGTGTTTTCCACATTTCCCCACGAATTCCACATGTTCATCAATGAAACTCCGACTTTTGATGGTGATTATAGTCACTGTTGTTCACCATGTTAGGATAGTAAACCCAAATTGAAACACGTCAAAACCGGGAAATTTCATTGGCTGGTTAACCACCATTTTAATCACGAATGCCACTGTATCAGGCCAGGTCTTTTACTTGAACACCGGCCTTCCACAGGCGAAGGATGCTGCAGCTGCGAAGGCGACGGAATACGACGATGCCAAGAGCAGACGAGAGCAGATGGAACTAGTCCGATATCCCAGCCGAGTGATGCCACGTGATAGTTTAAAAATGTTTAAACATATGGGATACCTACCAATAGCCATTTTTTAGTCGGGAAAATGATGATAAGTCATGATAATTCATTGGGACTGGGGGTAGCCTATTTTCAGACAAACCCGAATATGATTTGGCATTATGATATGTATACCCTGGGGATCCCTGTAGCACATTATTCACTACATGGCCAATGTCGCTCCTGAGGCTAGACATTTGGCTTGTCAGTTCTCAGAATGCACATTCATTTATGACTACCCCAAAAAAGTCATAAATGAAATTTTAAGTGAAATGCATGGATTACCTAGAACTTCCAAAACCTCTGACATGGTCGGTCCATTATGAAAGTACCGGCTTTTACGTACTTTTTATCAAAACAACGGTTCCCGTGTAAAAAAATGTCTTTTTCCAATTAACCTTCATTTTGTGTGTGCACTTGCCCTGCCAAGCGTGTGAGGTCATATATTAATTTGCTTAGTTTGCAGACACAGCCACTGACGATGAAATGAAGTGAACATTAAAGATCAAGACGAGAAAGTAACCAACCCATGCCAGCTGATATCAATAAAAGGGCAGGGTCAGGGCCAGGGCTCAGGGTTCGCACAGAAAGCGGCTGCTATTGGAGCTTGAAAACCAATGTGGATTCAAACTTTGGATCTTCGAGTGGGAAAATGCAGTCGTCTACAGTATTGCTATTCAACCCTTTTTGTTTCGAAGCTGGGAGATGACAATTTGGACATCCAATGTGCGATTTGTTCAAAGTTTGTTAACTTCTATGCCCCTGGGGTGGTGAAAACATGGGGACCCCAGCATTTTCCCGTACTTATCCCGTATTTACCCCGTACTTATAAGCCCGTATTTTCGAATGTTGAATAAAACACCGGCCTTCAAAAACCCGTAGTTAACCTGTAAAAAAACCGTATAAGTAACCCGTGGGAACCAGTAAAAAAAATATGGGTTTTCGGGCTCTGGCCCGAGGCTGCCATAATAGGTGTTTAGGCCCGCTGATGGTCTTTGCGCGGACAAATTTCATGAGAAAACGGGTCGCTGGCTCATCGTGGAATATTTTTTGCAAATACGCAATTCAAGTTGTTGTGTATGCCCCTGGTATGCAAAAATTGACATTGTTTGTCGGAGCATTTTCGTCAAAGGAAAGTTGTACGGCATGCATTTGAGATATGTAGGAATAGTTTCCCATAGTTTCCCAACAAAGTCTCTAGCCAGGCACGGCACAAGACACTGGCAGCATGCTGATAATTACATTGTTGATTTTTGAACATCAAAGGCAAGACTTTATAGGAAAGTGCACTAATGGAAAATTGGGAAATTCAAAAACTGTGTTTTTGGATAAAACCCCGTCTTTTTCCCATGTACCTGCCTTTTCAGCGGTTTCGGTTTCCCTTGGTATTCACATCATATTATTAGAATTGAATTCATATCCTCATGTTCAGATCCTCCAACTGAATGATCAACATGTTATATCATAAGACCCATCGATATCAATGTTAGCTGATTGGAGTCTTAAAACATCTCAGGCGTTCCAGGAGCTGGCCTGGTTCATGCGACGGGAGCGGTACAATTGCCGTAAGTACCATTGCTATGTGGATGAGGATTGCATAGGCTTTATAAAAGGGCTGTGTCGACGTGTACACAGAAGGATGCTGGAGTTGAGAGTCCTGGGCAGGTGGTCGATTCGCCTTGGTGCTTACCGATTGAAGCCTATACCCATAAATGAGAGTGAGAGGGCGGGATATGGTGAGTTGTGAGAGGGCGGGAAACCCATACCCATAAATGGGCACCAGACAAAAGTCATAAATGAATGTCGTTTCTCAGGCTATACGCAGGGCAATGTAGCAAATATTTCTGACATCGATGAATGTAAGGAATAAATTTCAGACATTCGATCCACTGGGATAGATAGATGGATAGATAGCTACATAGAGTCGACCGAACCCACGTACGAGGGAATAATAGGTATAATATGGTTCGCGGTAGTCAGACCTCCAAATCAATGACTTGAATGAGTATTTTAAAAGGAATAACTTTTGTTTTTGCCCAAACCCATTTGTCGGCAACAATTTGTAATGTTTGCATATTGAAATTATTTGAACAATTAGATCATCAGATCGCTGAACCTGATTTTGATCAAAATCATATTTATCTATTTAGCTGTTGAAACCATTAGGCAATAGTTACATAACTAGTTTAAATGTGATTTTCCCCAATGTAGCATTTAGTTATTTAATGATTTGGGGTTTCCATTTTCCAGGAGCAATTCCATGTTTAACCGATTAAGATAATTTATATTAATTTATGTGAGTAATTAACATACTTGATTGATTGGATAAGTACATGACTGAATGTGACATTGTGCAAATCGTATGTAGCGATTTTCATTATTCGATTAATTCATAGTTAAGGAATTGAATGTGGTTTTGACCAAACCCGCATATATAATCACATAGTTAAAATATTTATTTCATTATTTTATTATTGACTTAGTCCAGAAATTAAACAAAACCATGCGATTTTGCCCCAAATTTACTTATCATTTTTAATTATTCAATTATTTGGGTGAAAGGGGACCCAAATAATTGAATAGTTAGTTTAATATATTTGATATACTCAATACATGTACTACATTTCATTCACTACATATGTAAACACTCATTATATTTTGCCAAGACCCCCTTTTCAGCAACAATTGAATATGTCATTTGTTACATTTGTTGAACTATTTGACATTGTTCGTGGAAAAAAGTCAAACGAGGCACAGTGGTCGGAATGTTCGGCATGAAATTGATGGAGGTAAAACGGTAAAACCACTCGGGTTCTTTGACCAATCATGGTAAAAAAACATGATTTATGTCGCTTAGCCGATTGCATGTCGTGTTTTGGGTCATGGTCGTATGCAGTAAGAAAAGGGTACTCCTGTCCTTGGTACAAGGCCCTTTACCAGTTATACTGTAAATTGTTATAAATGGTTATCTGGTTGGTGGTTTGGAACAGTTTTTATTTTTCCATATATTAGGAAAAATGATCCCAACTGACTTTCATGTTTTTCAGATGGGTGGTTCAACCACCAACCAGTTATAAATGTGGTTACTATCCATAAATATCCAACTTATGGGGTGAAAGGCCGACAAACACAACTGGTAACTGGTTGGTGGTTTCAAACATTTGGATTATTTTCCAATTCATATATGGGATGTCACCCTGCCCATTGACGAACTCATATTTTTCAAGATGGTTTTTAAACCACCAACCAGATCATTATTGGACGATTATTTGCCATTCTATTGGATGATTATTGACCCTCTGGTAAACGTTTACATAGCGAACTGGAAAGATCCACCATGTTATTAATGGGTAACTCACCATTTTCAATGGGAAAATCACCATGTTCAATGGGTAAATCCACTATTTCAATGGACCATCAACGGTCATCAACGGGCCATGGATTTCCTCAGGCCTTGGCATCTCTTGAAAGCGACGGCGTGACCCTGAAGAGGCGATGCTGCATGGCGTTATTCGTCGTTCTCCTTGTCCGGTTCGTATGTTAATGTGGTGTTAACATACGAGCCGAACAAGGAGAACATTGATGGAATAGACATATAATAGGGAAATATACGAAAAATATGTTAAAAAAAGGAGAACAAATTACTGGAACAAATTAATGTTAATATGTCATTAATTATTTAGCTCGGACACCTTTCCATGTCCCCTGGGCATGGCAGCGATGCAGTCCCGCAGAAGACAGGTCTGAAATATGTTTTTTTTTTTTAAAGGGAACAAATTAATGGAACAACTAATGTTAATATACTATTATTTTTTAAAAGGGAACAAATTAATGGAATACAACATATATAATAGTAGTAATGGAACATTGATGGAATACAACATATATAATATATTAGTAACGGAACATTAAGGGAATATTTATTAAGGGAAGATTTAAATTATCAGCCAATGGAACATTAATATATTAATGTGATGGAATTTAAACGGAATATTGAGGGAATAGAAATGCAGTATTAATGGAATATTGAATATTGGCTATACGCTCCCGCAATAAAACATTGTTAGCAGGAAAATCCTTTAAAAATGGTGGGTCTTTATGTAATGGGGAAATCCTCGAACTAAATGGTGGGTTTTCCAGCAAACCATGATTGATTTCCAGAGGGTACAGTACATCTGTGTAATAGATTTGGGATACCGAACCAGCAGCGGTTTTGCTCGAGGACCAACCTGGACCATTCCCAGTTTCGTTCCGTTTGTTTGCGTCCCCAACAAACTTGGTTCATGTGACCTTACCAACAGAACTGCAAGGTGGTATCCCATACAGAGTATATATATATAATATATGCATGCATACATACGTATATATATTCTTTCTCTGCCACACATCCCGGTGATTAAAAAACCAACGCTAAAAAATCGAGTCACCAGCTTCCGTGGCTATGTGAAATTTACCGGAGAGTAACTGGTTGAAATTCCCAGTGGTGAACGGAAGGAGCGGTTTCCCAACCACGGGCCCGAATCATAATTCCTAATCTAATCGAATCATAGAATCAAATATCATCCCATTATCATCTCATGTTCATCGCATTCATTCCCAATATTACTCTCCATTAGGACATAGATATGGGAAAAAACACGATGCACGTAGATCATGTCCGAGTGGAAAACCATGGATTTCCATATATAGCTATGTTACCCTCCAGTAACGGATAATGATCATGGTTTTATGTTGATTTCGGCACCATGCACCCATGGCAAGCTAGTAACATTCCAGTAGCAAGCCAACAGAATCAACATTCTAGGCAGTACCCTCTGGTTATGTCAAAATAGCTATTGGAAATGGCCATAGAAATAGTTGATTTACCCATTCAAAATGGTGGATCTTTCCAGTTCGCTATGTAAACGTTTACTGAGGCTAAACCTCCATTTTCCTATGGGTTTTCCTATGGTTTTCCCATTTTCCCATGGGTTTTCCTATGGTAAAAACCCATGGTCCCCGCAGGCGCCGTGATCAGATCGTCAAGGAACAGAGCAAGTTCACGCGGGGAAACGCAGAGGGCTGGTGCGTTTTACGTAGGGAATGGATGGGTTGCTGGGGGTTGCTGGGATGATTATTACTAGTGATGAAATGGATCATTCCCTCATTTTCTGCCAGGTGGAACTCTCTTTTATCATATTTTAGCAAGTATTATTTCTATAATAGCTACATATCATCCAATTTTTTGATGGTTTTTGAGGGTCTCTAGATTTTTTTTTCCAAGGTGCAGCTAGGTGCAACTCCCGCCCACCCTCTTTCTCCGCGTGCTCCACGGCAGTGTGGGCACGAACACATGCCAGATAGACTGTCAGATAGGATGTCAGAGTAGATGCCAAAAAAAATGCCACAATAGATGCCAAATAGAATGTCAACATATATGTCAGATAGATTCAGATAGAATGCCAGAAAGGCTGGCAGATAGAATGTCTGAATGTAGATCAGATAGATGTCACGTGGTAGGGTTTACTCGAAGCATGTCTTTTTTTTGGTGTATTTCACCAGCAAAACGGTGGATTTTACCAGCAAATGAATGGCATTTTCCAGCAACACGGTGGATTGAACTTCCAAAAAGGTGGACTTTGTCAACAAAAATAATGATTTTGCTGGATTTAAACAACAAGAGCAGGATTTTGGTAGCACGGTGGGAAATTAGCCAACAATGAATGTGATTTTTTGAAACAAGCTGGGAGTTTCACCAGCAAACATTTGTTGCTTAACGAACTCCACTTGGGCGCAAGCAACTGTAAGTGGAACATCTCGGGCCTGGTGGACGGGGGAATGACCAGCTAAATTTAAAAAGAGAGATGGTACCAACAGAAATACGGTAGGCAAGTACTTTGGAATATATCATGGTTGGTGGTTTCAAACATGAATTTTATTTTCCATTTCATATATGGGATGTCATCCTTCCCATTGACTCATATGTTTCAGAGGGGTTAAAACCACCAGCCAGATGGTACTAGTAATAGTATATCATGGTTCCATTATGTTCAAGTCACTTGCAACGGGGTTGTCCTGTTTGTATGCATTTAAACACCTTCGCTACGACCCATTTGCTGATTGGGATGCCACTGGGTGTGCCTGAAAATGGGAGGACTGTCCACTGTATCTTGGGGTACCCCCAATGTTCAGGCAAAACCAATGTGAGCAGTGTTCAAAAACCCTGCTGGTTGCTGATTGGGGTTTATACATGGTTGTACTATCCAATACATTGGACATATTGGGGACAATCATCATCAATGAACTGGGAATTCCATTCTTAACTAGTAAGGATTTCGAATGACATAGGTTTTGAACAGGGTTGGTTGTTATATTATACTGTTATCATGGTTCTAGCACCAACTTCTGTAGGGATTATCAATGTTATTAGTGCTGCTCATGCGAATACGGTAGGGTACAAATAACTTCCCAAAGCCTCTTTGTTGCTGAGGGACATCAGGGACAACATGCTGAAGGCGGAAATTTGGGGAACTGAGATGATGGACATTTTGTAAAAATCCCATAACTGGGAACTAGGAAAATCAGAACAAACGTTAGACAACAATAAGAACTGAAGAGGACAAAAACATGAATCTTGGGTGTTTGGTTTAACATGGGTCCAGGATGGTCCATATCTCGCGACTTAGACCTTTGAGGTATGTTTGGTAGGACACTTATCTATAAATGGATCATTTTCGAGCCAGGCGTGGATTACCAGAGGTCATATCATTGGGATGCTCAACTACTGGGCACGTCCTCTTTTAGGGGTCGCAAAAATATGTTGCTCATCTTATGTTTTGTAATATGTTTTGGTGGAGACCTACACACTCAAATTTGGGTGTTGCCTCTGATCAACCAGGCATCGCTCTCGACCATTCTTCCAGCACAAAGATCAGGTATATGTATGATTATGTATGATTATGTATGTATATGTCACTTCAAGTGCACACGAAATCACAGATCCTGGATGCTCAGAGATCTCAAGCCACATCTAATCTGCCAGCGCCCCGGTTTGATCCCAGTCCTCAGCGATGCCTTCACCGAAGGTGCTCTTGGAAAAGGGGTCAGAGGCCGGCAGCGAGAAAAACGCCAAGAAACTCTGCGAGAAGTGTCTCGATTTGGCCGGAATCGTGGGCTTGGGATGGCTTGGGCCTTTGAGATTTTGGCTGGAAGTGTTTTGGCAAGGATGGCATCACTTCAGTGTACTCATAGTGTAATTGATTTTTGAAAGATGCTTGCGAAGTCAGGAGTGTGAAAAGAAATCACCTTGAGTTTACAGGTAAGCTCCCACATAACTATCCTGCATGTCACATGGTTGACGATGTTTGTGTTTGGGTGGTAAATGTTGCTGAATTTTACTGTTCCAAACATGGGTGTGGTGGCAAATGGGGTATCCAAATGGTATCAAATGGCCATGTTTTCCATGGTTTGAATAGGTAAATTATGGTACTAGTAAACATATTTTCTAAACCATCAAATTCCATCAAATTTAGAAGGTTTTCCGGTACGGTGTTTCGAGAATGCCACATTCTTAATTTCCCTTCTGAGTCTATTATGTCAGCTGCAACGAACTGCTTAACACTACCAGCATCAATTCGGCAGGGCGATAGGGTTGTATATTACAATATATGATAATGAATATCAGGATGATAATCATGAATATCAGGATGATATATATATATATATATGATATGTATATGAGACACCAAAAGCGCGCTGTGTTGAAACTTTGGTCTCTCCCAAGAACACCTTTGCCTCTCAAATGACCTAGGAAGATGAGGCTTTTGTTGTGAACATCTTCACCGGAAACCATGGTAAGTTATTTGACTTGGTAATACTTGCTAAATCTTGGATTTAGCCTCTGGCAATCAACCACAAGGCGATCGAAATTGTGCCATTTACAGATGATTGTCCCATTCAAAGCTCTATTTATAGTGGGTTTTCAAGCTAGACATATTTGATTACCCCAGGGACCTGGGTAAGCCTCGGCTAGTGTAGTACATCAATCGAACTTCTGCCATGCAACTAAATGTGGGTATACAGTATACAGACATATACAAACACAGCTTTCTTTACAAACACATATAAAAACCATTAAAAACCATATTTCTTTGCAGGGTATCTTTGTAGTCGATGTATTTCTCGGTATCAGAGGAGCACCTCGGGAAGATGAACATGCAAAAGAAGCCGCTGAACAAACCACTTCTCAAGGCAGGACAGTGCAGTGCTGGCTCGCTGAAAAGAAACCATTGCCAGCTGCAATTCCTCCAGTCGGAGAAATTCATCGCAGTCGGAGCAACCTGCAAGAACCAGGGTGCCTTTTACGGCTGGATCTGTGGAAAATCACTCTGCAGGTGCACTTTTACAAGGTCTCAAAAAATATGGGGACGATAACGATGATATGCCCATCTACCCCATTGAACACAGGGAACCCTGGTCCCGAGGTTAGGTTTCGAGGGTGTAATCACTATATTGTATATAGGTGAGACAGTCATAATTCCTGGGACGCACATCCAAGTTTCCATCTGAGTGTGTCCGAAAATATCTGAAAATGTGGGACACCCTTAAGACAGCAATTCTACTGGAGAATTTGATGATTAATCCTGTTTCTTTTTTGTTCCAACATGTTCGGCAAAAAACGAGCTAGCTGGCCAGGAGATACCCCCAGCTCAGATATGAGTCTAATGTGATCTAAAGCTATCTAAAACCAGGGTGATTTCTGAGATTTGCTGGTGAATTTTCCCATTGGCGAATCCAAATTATTTGCAGATTCCACCAAAATTGGCAGGGCGTGAGTTCGCGTTGGTGAAGAGTTCACTGTTCTTTTCACTGTAGGGGTTATGGTTTCTTCCGTAGTTCATGATATTCGGTGGGGTTTAAAAATCAGTAAGTGAAGCTTATAAACCAGCAAACATGTTTTGAATTCAACACACTCTCAGAAATAAGGGACGCTATAGACAACCTTTGCTAGCTTGAAAATCATCCAAACAATGTGTTTTTAATAGTAACATAGTAACATGATCGATAAAACGGGCCACTTTCCAGGCCATGTTTGATTAGAGGGCGACTTGGTGGCTCCCAGGAATCGTAAGTGGATTGGGATTAGTTCACCAGTGATTTCAGTGGGATTTTGGTAGGGTTAATCCAGCGAAAACACTATGGTGAACGAACATGTTAGAACCTTATGACCCCAGTTATTTCAGTGGGATGTTTGTAGGGTTCATCCACCTATAACATCTATAACTAAGAGGGTGAACGACCCCACTGACGATTCGTGGAGGGGAGGGGGTCCACCTTTTTAAAACATCCCCGGTGTCACTCGCCGAGATTGATGAAGCAAATCAGCCAGTTGGGTGGAGAGCACGGGGGCCCGGCCCTGCGATGGGTGGTATCGCAAGCCTCCCAAAGATCAGGGAAATAACATGAAATAACATGGATTCCAACAGATTTGTGTCAAAAACAAATGGTGAAATACACGTTTCCACCTTGTGGAGGTTCCAATATAATAATAATATAAATATAAATAACTTATTATTTCAAATATATATATATAATAAATAGGTCAGCCACATTTTGGCCATATAATTCCATGGACAAGTGTTTCAAATGTACATGTCATTATGGTTCAAAGGAAACAACGTTTTTGCCCCGCCAGTTTTTTTCAAATAGATATTGCTCATGAATTGGAAAAATCGACCAACCAGTAGAAACAATCATTCATCATGGTGGTATGACTATGCAGTTTGGTATTACTCTGGGTGTAATTTCTTTCTTCAGTACATAAATTCGAACCACCATCATCCGCTCAAATCAAACAAGTACTCTGGGTTTGTCTGAAAACAGGGTACCCCAAAACTCAACGGATTGTCATCACTTCCTGCCTTTTCAAATGGACTCAGCTTGGACCAGACCCCATTTTCAGACACATACACATACACACACATATAATCATATATATAATTATATATGCATGTATATATAACTATATAAAATTATATATAATAATACTAAACAATAATAGCAAATAGAATCAAAAAACATGTTATTTGTTGAATTAAACATATATGTATATATATACATAATTACTCCATTCGAAATCCCACTTTATCCCGGCTCCCGATCTCCCCATGATCTCCAAGGCCGGCACTCCAGGCCTCGGCACCTTCAGTTCTCTTGAAAAAACCCGAGGACGCCGCCTGCCGGCGCCTCCCAGCTCCGGCGGGTTGCCTCGTTTGTGTTAGATTTATCAACCAATTTTTAGTATTTATAGTATTGTATCAGTTTTAAAACCAATATAATCCAGTATAGTCTTTAAAGAAAACTTTTGGGTTCCGAACGGTCATCTTTTGCAAAAGACATCCAAACTTGCAGCCGGCTTAAATTAACCCAAAGATTTCTTGACCCAAATTATCCCAAATGATCATATAAATCCTGGTTGGTGGTTTGGAACATTTTTATTTTTCCATATATTGGGGATAATGATCCCAACTGACGAGCATATTTTTTCAGAGGGGTTGAAACTACCAACCAGATAGTATTGTATCAGTTTTAAAACCAATATATCATTATTAAACTGATAAATCTAAATAGTATGATTTATCATGGTTTCCTATCATCAATAGTGATAATTTCAACCAAACATAATATAATTAATAATAGATAGATAGATCAATAGTAATAACAACTGATATAATTATCAACTATATCACAATTGATAATAGTAAGCAATCTGTTCGAATTATCACCAATGATTATAGTATTCATGATGTATAGTACACTTTGATAATATACGATAAGATATACGCATTGTCAACAAACTATGCTACAATCGATGATGCATATATTTAATATACTATGTTCGTGTTATCTATAATAATAGAGTTTGATACTCATCTATCATCATGATCTATACTAAAGGGTTTGAATCGTGAATTCCCCCATTGAAAAGATTGTAGATCATATTCCCCCAAAAATAGATTATCCACTTTTGAGCCCCAAAAATGGAAGGGATTTGCTGCAGGTTTTATTAACATATATTAACATTTATGATGGGTTTATCTATAGCCAGAAAGATGCCGTAAGTTTGTAAAATCTGAATCTATATAAACTACCCTCTGGTCTGGTTATTTAACGTAGCCATGGAAAATCATCATTTTTTAATAGGTAAGCCATCTATAAATGGGCCATCTATACCATGGCTATGTTAAATAACCAGATGGTACTAAAATTGAGTGATGAATTTGACATTGAAATTACCCTTTGGCATCTTTTTGGTTACAGACATAGATGATGGTCGTCCAATTGACTTTCACAGTCGCGTGAAGCACCATCTAAAGAATTGGGTGATGATGAGCAACAAAAGATAACAAAAGTATGGAGGCTGAAGCAACGGCATACTAAAAAGGAAAATTTAAGCAGTAAACATGTTGCAATACAATCATTTCCCAGTTCGCTATATTAAATTACCAGAGGGTAGCCCAATTAAATACCTGGTTGGTGGTTTGGAACATTTTTTATTTTTCCATGTATTGGGGATAATACTCCAAACTGACGAGCATATTTTTCAGAGGGGTTGAAACCAACAACCAAACAAGGACAACCTTGATGGATTGGTTCATGGCTGGACTATATGTGTGGCTAAAATGATGGTTGCGAAATCCACCACCAAAAGGATGGTTGAAACATGTTGAAACCCTACAATGGGATAAAACACGATAAAAAAACATAAAACACTGTTTTACCGCCCGTGAGGAGCGACAAGGCTTTGATTCGCACGTCCTGGAAGCGGTTGAGGCATCGTTATTTCGACGGTGTCGGCGGCTGGGGGCATTTAAATGGAATTCTAAGGGGATGCTACATGGTTATGGATGGTTATGGATGGTTATGGATGGTTATTTGTCAAAACCCTGGTACCCGGATGGTACCCTAAAATACTGTAGCTTGTTAATGGATGGTTATTGCCCCATATATGAAATTTCATAGGTTTTGACCCATCCCAGGTTCTGAAGTCATGGTGGATCCTCCCAAGTCACCATGGTCTAGTGACTTGGTTGTTAAAAATGGACTCCCATTTTAGCACACCTTCATACAATGAAACAGTGGTTACCCTCTGGTAAACTGTCCCATAACTATGGAAAGATCCACAATTTTTAATGGGAAAGCTCACTATAAATGGCCATGTTCAACAGCTTTTTGTATGTTTACCAGAGGGTAATACAATTTGATCATCAAACATTGGAAAACCATGGAAAATCATCGAACTAAATATACCAAATGGGCAATTTTCGCAGCTAGTGCAATTTTCGCAGCTAGCCATGTTTCAGTACTAGATGGTATTTGGAAAACCGTTTTAGCATCAACTATTCAAGTGACATCTAGGATTCAATATCAAAACTGTCTATTGTTGAATTCATTTTTTGGGGGGTTGCAGGGAATCTTTTTTTTGACATTCGTTACTTGTACCCTTTTGTAATCAAACATCGCAAAATTTGTATTAGTTTCCTATCAACATGTCGTTTTCGAGGGGATTTACTAATCTGATTGGTGGTTTGGAACATTTTTTATTTTCCATATATTGGGAATTTCATCATCCCAACTGACTAATATTTTTCAAGATGGTTAAAACCACCAACCAGTAATGCAATGTTTGATTACCAAAGGGTATAGTTGTTCATCAATAGACGCCAAGCTGCATCGCAAAAACCACAAGGACTAGTAAGCTTTTGGCACCTTACTGCATATATATATATATATATGTATATATATATATGCATGGGAACCGATTGAGCCTTAGTAAGCTTTATTAGGGCATGTGGCACATGTGGAAATAACCCTGACATTCAGGGGGCTTAACGAAGCCGAAATTCCATGGAGGGCATTGTCTTTAAGCTTTATTCGGTTTCATGGTGGCTGTCCCGGGCGAATCCAATCTAGATGGTGCAATATCACAAAGTTTACTGGCCTCAGAACCTTAGTTCTAGCAAAAAACGTATAATGCTTGGTAAAGATTATACGTCTGGTATCAATGTCCATGGGGAATATATGGAATTTCATCAAATATCCTCAACTGTTCAGGGCTTAGTAAAGATTATAACTGGTTAAAACATGATCCAAACACACAGGGCGATGAAGTTCCGACAGGTCATCGTGAAATGGTACATCCCAACGACATCCCAGACAGAAATCAATGGGAGATCTCCAGGATCCTAAAATGGAGGTACTGTACCATATTTCAGTTGAAATATACCGACCCCTGAGCCCCACTATGTATAGCATAGGTAGTAGGTTTAGTGTAGACATGCCAGAGCTATGATTCCATCACATCCGAAGTAGTACATCCGACCATATGTACAGATGTAGCACCACATGTATAGAAGCGTTATACATGTAGAGTAGTCATTGGTAGAAGTAGGTACTTACCCCTAACCCTAACAACAACCAGGGTCAGGGGATAACTAAGTACGCTGCTGACCACGTGGCTCAAGTGCCCGTGAAAAGAAGGGCATTTGTTTTCTTTCGTATGCAGGGTTTGCCGGATTGGGGTTCCTCTTTTTGGGTCTCTGTTCCGTCCCCCTGTTTGACTGGTTATCAGCCGTAAGGCTTTTGTTGGGGAACCTAATCCGGTAAAACTTGCCATAGGCCCTAACTTTGTTTTTCGCACTTCATTGTTCCTTGTTGCATGCCCTCAGAAGGATCCGGTGAGGTCGCTGACGATTCCGTCGCGACTGAAACTCCAGCGGGTGGAGCTGAAGCGGTCGCATCTGCTGCAGAAGACGTTGAGCAACCAGCTCCGTTGCCTGCCGGATCGATAGCTGAGGCCTCTACCTCCTGGGCGGATCTGTCTGAGGTACAAGCGCCCGCGCCATCTGGTTTCGACTCCATTGTGACAGACTCTGCAGATCTACAACGATCACTGGTAGAGGTTAAGGAGGAGATCCACGAGGCCGAGAGCATCAGTGCAGTAATTTCAGCAATTGGTTTGCCGGAAGAGGTCGTTGACGAACCCGTCGCGACAGAGGATATCGAGGTTGACACTTCACTTCAAGATCAGTCATTTTTGGAACCACCTTCTGATTTGGGTAACCCAGCAGAAGCTGCTTTCACGGACATTGATCGAGCAAAAGAAGAAGGAGCAGATCTTCAGCAAGAATCTTCAACTCTTCTGGAACAGGCCGAGTGCGAAGACGATACAACAGGTTTTGCAGATCCAGTTGATTCTGCCGACATTGATTTCACAGGTGACGACACAACCGTAGTTGCTGAGGTTCCTGAGGCAGAGACCGAAGGTCTAACTGCCGACGCCGTTGCATCCGAAGCAGCCGTTGCATCCGATCCTGTGGTCGCTGACACATCCGGTGTCGCGACAGAAGCCAACACTAATTGCCCCGATCAAATAGTCCCACCACCAACTAGCCCTAATCTTGTTGACCCAGGTGCCGATCCTATCCAAGTAGGACATTCCCCTGCCAGCTAATCAACAGCCCATCGACCAAGGGTTCGATCCAGCAGGGGCGGTGCCCAAACCAGGTGGCAAGAAGCAAAGCGAGCTTGGTGGAACGACTTCGAGGCATACCAAAATTGGCTTTACCATAACTCCGGAGGGGATATCGTAGGTGGCTTTTGGTTGAGAAAGATTTCTTACGAACAAGCTGACGAAAGCATTCGCTGGTTGATAGCTCTTCATTCAAGACTTGTTGAGGAGTTCCCAACATCACAGTGTTTAGCTTTGGCCTACCAAATCCTCATCCCTTACAAAGAGTGGGCTCACATCCACGGGTTGGACAGGCGTAGAGGTACTGCCCACGCACAACAAGTGATTGATTCTGGTGATTTACCTCCAAAAAGGGTCATTAACCAACGAATCTTAGGGGCAGAGCACCCACGCGCAGAAGAGTGGGATAGGTATTATAGATACATAGGCCCACAGCAGCAACCCCGTCCAAAGGTGGTTAGGCCTGCTGCCGCAACACCCGTTGCTGGCGCGGCAAGTGGAGGCACAGATCCGACTCCGGTCCAGCAAGGACCCAAAGAGCCTGGGCATCCACCGCCAAATTGGCAACCCTCTTTGAGGGCACCAAACCATCCAGTCCAACCGCCGCGTCCAAGGGTTACTGTCTCTGTCCATCCAGTCCCACAAGCCCCAAAGTCAGATTCTCAAGGGGTCGCTGCCTTTGGGCGCGATGTAGCACCAGTCCCAGTTGCTAGCCCTGCTAAGCTACCAGCTAAAGCTAGGCCCAAAGCTCCTGATTCTAGTGCCACAACCCTTGCAGATAGAGTTCGAAGCTTGCCACCTCCGCCTAATAACATTGCCCCTAGTCCGCCCTCTCAAAAACAACCACCTTTACCACCATTACCACCTCCTAATACACCACCACCCAGTGATAATTTTCCACCACCACCATCTCATCCGCCGCCAACTGCGCAGGAGCTCGCTGCCCGCAGTTCCCGACCAGCAGAGGCGCGAGAAGAGACTGCTCCGGAGGATCCCAACGATCCACCGCCTGAAGAGGAGCAGTGGGTGGAGGAAGAGGAGGAAGAGGAGGTTTTTGAGGAGGACGAAGTGGTCGAAGTTGAGGTTGAGGCTGAAGCAGAGCCCGAATTCCCTGACTTTACAACAACTGAACACGGCCGTGAGGTTTCCACGCGCCGTCGTAGGCCTAAAAGAACTAGGTCCAATCCGCCATTGCCTGTCAATCTAGTCCCAAGGGAAACCCGTGAACGAATTGAACTTAATCAAGAACTTTATAGAGCCCGTGCCATAACCGGTGTTTCTAGAAGACCTCTTGCTTTAAGACCCCAAGTGCACGGTTACCCCGAAATTAGAACTGACTCCGCTGGCACCTGGGCTAGGGTCGCTGATCCTCCGATCGCGTACGCGCCGCAGACTTTGCCGTTCATTGTTCCTCACGCCGAGGCACCAGAGCTTGGGGTCAACCCACACGAGCTTCCCGACTCGTTGTGGCGTGATCCTGCACTTAGATCCCATCGGACTGTTCTTGGTTCAAGTAATTTAGACCCCAATAGTGTCTATAATATTTCCACCAATAACCCCGAAACCGAATCTGAGGGCTCTGAAACCGCTGAGACTCGAACCGCCAGGTTTGTTTCATCAGGTCAGGCATTTGTCGGCCAGCAAGAACCGTTCGACGCTGGCTTCGCTGAGCGCACCCCTGCCCGTCCAATTGAGTCTCCACCAAAGAGACAGCGTCCTAACATAAGAACCTCTCAAGTCCAACGTGATAAGCCGGCACAGCCCAGAAAAGATCCAGTTTCTGCTGCACCAACACCACCTGCAGCCCCTACAGTACCATCTTTGACTGTTCCCCCATTAAGCAGTTCTAGTAGTTCAGCTTATCCTCCCTGGAGGCAGTCCTTGCAAAGTGCTGGAAGTGGGGTCGCTGACACAGCCCGTGTCGCGACAGAGACTGCATCAGAGCCAGCCGGCTCTCCCGTTGCGCGATCCAGATCAAGAGCACCCTCAGCCGAAACTGCGCCCGCAGTTGCTGCCAGAACATCAAGGGGAAGGGAAGTACCAATTTCAAATAAGATTTCATCTAAGTCTCGCAAAAGAGCTAGTTCCGTTCCTGTGCCAATCCGTGCAAAGGGGGCTGCTGTCCCCGACACGCCCCAAAGGCCAGAACCCTTACCACCAGCTCCAGAGAAAAAGAAGAATCTGCCTTGGAAACATCCACCTGTGTCAATTGCGCCTGCGGCACCTGCTGCAGCACCTGCTGCACCGCTGCACCTGTGGTAATTCCCCCAAGACCTAATAGGCCTGTTCCCCCTAATCCAGCTA